AATAATAATAAAGGGAGAAATGTGGGATCCACATATAAATCAAGTATAAAAATCAAACAAATATTCATATTTGACCGGATTGTTTATAGTTCATAATGCGTGATCAAAACCGAAAGTTTCTGTGATGACTGCCCTTGTATTGTTCAACATCTAAGAACTTACTCACTATGTAAGAATTTGTTCACCATTTAAGAACTTGTTTGTTATGCCTCAGAAGATTGGAGACTGACGAGAATTAGGCTTGGGGTGGATTAATGATTGTGCATTGAGCATTGACTCCCCTATATAGAATTTTATTGTTGTTAACAACCATTTGATCAATAAATATGAGAGATGCCCTCTCAAAAAAAAAAAACCTTCTCATCATAAGAAAAAAAATTTGTATGTATGGTGATAGATGTTGACTAGACTTATTGCTATTATTTTGCAATATGCACAAATATTGAACCATTACATTGTACACCTGAAACAACTATGTTGCAGGCAATTACACCTCAATAAAAATAAAGTATGAAAAAATATCTTACAAAATCGAGAATAGCCATAAAATATAGAAACTGTTAAAAAAGAACAAATAATGAGAAGGAAATGTGGGAAACTCACAAATATGTAGAAATTAAACAATATACTCACAGGTAACAAATAGGTCAAAGAAATCTCAGGGAAAATTAGAGACTACTTTGAGATAAAGAAAAACTAAACCACAACATATCATAATTTATGGAATGTGACAAAAGCAGTGTTTAGACGTAACTTTACAGCTATAAGCACCTATATTTAAAAAAAAGAAAAATCAAAACCTTAACTTCCACCATACAATATAGAAAAAAGAAGAGCAAAATAAACCCAAAGTGAACATAAGGAAAGGAAATTTCAAAGACATAGTTTCAGATTTGTTGATTTTTCTCTGTCATTTTTGATGTTTTTGATTCTCTATTCCATGTATTACTGCTTTTGTCTTTATTATTCCTTTGGAAAACAGTACGCTCAGTTCCCAAAAAGTAGAACACAGGGTTATTATATAACTCAATAATTCCACTCCTAATTATACATGAAACAGTACTGAAGTCTGGTCCATATGAATTTTTGGATTTTTTTTCTATTTCTGTAATGAATACCATTGGGATTTCTATAGAGATTACAATAAACCTGTAGATTACTTTTCATAGTAGGGACATTTAAAAATATTAATTCTCCTAAATCTATGAACACAGTATTTCTTTGCATTTATCTGTCTTCTTTAATTTCCTTCATCAGTGTTTTATAATTTTCACTGCATATCTTTCACCTCTTTAAATTTATTCTTAAGTATTTTATTCTTTCTGTTCCTATTTTGTAAAAGATCCTGAATAGCCAATGCATTCTGAGCAAGAGTAAAGCTAGAGGCATCATACTTCCTGACTTTAAACTATATTATAAACCTACAGTTATCAAAACAGTATGGTACTGATGTTTAAAAAGACATATAAACAAATAGAACAGAATAGAGAGCCTGGAAATCAATCCATGTGTTTAGAGTCAACTGGTGGAAAAAAACAGCATACAATAAGGAAAGAATGATCTCTCTAACAAATGGTGTTAGAAAAATTGGATATCCACATCAGGAGAATAATGTAATACTATTTAGCCTTAAAAAAGAAGGGAATGTTGCCATTTGGAACAAATGGATGAACCTAGAAGATGTTATGCTTAGAAAAATAAACCAGACACAGAAAGATAAATACAGCATGATCTCACTAACATGGAATTAATTAGATTATGCAGAATCTAAAATAGTAAAACTCATAGAAGGAGAAAGAATGGTGGCTGCTGGGGGAGTGAAAGAGGGGAAAAGGGAGAGTTTGGTTAAAGAGCACAAAGTGTCAGTTATGCAAGATGAGTAAGTTCTGGAGATGCACAACATGATGACTACAGTTAACAATACTACATTGAAATTTGCCAAGAGGGTAGATCTTAAAAGTGTTCTCACCATTAAAAAAATCATAATGATGTGAGGTGATGAATATGTTAATTAGCTTGATTGTGGTGATTATTTTACAATGTGTATATATATAAATCAAACATCGAGCTGTATACCTTAAATATATATAATTCCTATTTGTCAATTATACTTCAATAAAGCTGAGAAAAAGAAATATCAAGGATAAAATTGGGGAAGTATAAAATTGGGCAAATATAAACTGTATATTGACTATCACACCCCTTCAGGGCACTTTGTGCTAGAAGCTCTAATGTTTCCTTTTGTTTAATTACATACTTTGCTTCTATAGTAAAAAAATAATACATACATACATAAGAAAACCTGTCCACACAAAAAAACTTGTCGTGTATGTGAATGTTCATAGCAGCATTATTCATAATAGCCAAAAGGTGGGAAGAACTTCAATGCCCATCAACTGATGAATGGATAATGGTAGTATATCCACACAATGGAATACAATTTGCCATAAAAAGGAATGAGCTATGGATACATATTCCAACACTGATGCACCCGAAAAATACACTAAATCAAAGAAACCAGACACAAAGTCCCTATGTGTATATGTGATGTCAAGAACAGGGAAACTTAAAGACATAGAAAACACATCAGTGGTTGCCAGGGGCTGGGGCTTGAGGAATGAAAAGAGCAAGGGACCGCTAATGGACATGGGGTTTCTTTTGGGGGTAATGAGAATGTTTTACAATCAGATAGTGTTGCCAGTTGCACAAGTCCGTGAATTTACTCAGTACCACTGAATTATACACTTTACATTTGTGAGTTTTAAGATTTCAATAAAGCTGGTATTAAAAAAAGAATAATCTTACCACACTTCTAAATAGTTAGAAGCTACTGACCCGCTTGTAGAAGTCACAGTTCTCCAATGTCCCCTACATTTCCTATGTTCACTTTTTATTAATTTGAAAGTTATTAGCACTAGAAAAATCCAGAATTGTAGAGGGTTAAAAATGACAATAGGATATTAGAGAACAGAGATGTTTTGAAAGATGTGCAAGTTACTGGAGAAAATGAATTGTGTTGGTAAGTTTAAGAAACTTGGACTAAAGTAATGTCCAAGTCTCAGAAGCAGTTAAAAAGAAAATGTTTTTCATAATGGTGGATAACACTTGTTGGTATTCTATGAAGACTGATTAAATCTGTCCAACTTGGGGAGTGGGGAAGTGAGTCATTCTAAGGAAGCAGGAAGAGTTATCAACATAGGCTGTATGTATTTAAACATGTAAACAATAGTTCTTGATTGCAATTGGAAGAATGCTTCCATCAGTAACTTTATGAACCGTATCACTGTGCAGTGGAGAAAAGATAACTTTAGAAACCTGAGGTAAAACCATAAGCATTTATGTTTCCAACTGTTTAGAGCAAAGCTCAACAAACTTTTCAGTAAATTGCCAGACAGTAAATATTTTAGGTTTTATGGGCCATATAACTGTGACAATCAATAAAGGGAAACCTCATGAAAATGAAGTCAGAAGGCGAGAAACGGGAGCTCTCCTGCCTTACCCTGGACATGTAGTACAGAGCCCAACAGAACAATCTTCTACAGGAAAGAACCGTCAATTCCAGGCTCAACAGGGAAAGATGGGCATTGGCATCTCCTATAAGAAATCTCCTACCTCAGCAACTCAGCCAGTGAGTAACTGTCACCAACATCACCTGACTCTTGCTTTTCTCCAAGGGACTTCTGTTCAAAACAACTTCTCCCAACTTCCTCCTCCATAAAATAAAATTCCTCTCCTTTGTTACTTGGACTAGCCTATGGTTTTGCAATTCTCTGATATTCCCAAATAAACCCATTTTCGCTGGTAAAATAACTGTTTTATTTCTAAGGTTAACACAAATGTCTCACAAATATTCAACTCTGCTTCTGTATGAAAGCAGCCCTAGACACTAGGTGAACAAATAGGAGCAGCTATGTTCCAGTAACACTGTACTTAAAAGAACAGGGGGCAGGCCAGATGTGGTCTGTGAACTGTAGTTAGCCAGCACCTCCTTTCCAGGGTCTGGGAAAGGGTTAACCGAGTAGAGAAAGAGAAGCTGGCCTGGTGCTCACAGGTATGCCTCGGAGTTGAACTTCTCTGCTCTGCACCAGCAGTACAAGGCGTAAGCCGGCTAATTGACATCAGTTTCAAATTTGAAATTTCTACTCAACTTTAAAGGTCGTGTTCCTATGTTCCTGTAGTAGAAGACCTCTATACCTGGCTGGAAGTAAACACCCTATCCTCTGAGTTCCTGTATCACCTTGTTATAGGTCCCTTTTAACAGATTTTGTATTCATCTTAAACCATACCTGTTTGTATGTACCTTACATTTCCTTAGTAGGTGAAAAAATTCTTACCGGGCAGAGCCTCTTCCGCCAGCGCGCAGCCTGGCCACTCTGCTCCCCGGGCAAGTGGGGATCCCGCTCCTGTCCGAGCTGGAGTACGTTTACGGTCAGCACAGCTGCAGCCTCAAGGAGCTGAGCCACGCTGCCAGAGGCGCGCCCAGCCCGCTACCGCCTGGCGGTGCCCACACAGAGCCCAAACCTTGCAAGGAGGTGGTGGGGCTGCTGCAGCCTGATGCGTCCCTGCTCTGCCAGCTGTGGGGCTTGTACGAGCCAATCCAGGAGTATAAGCACCTGTGCCATGCTGAGACTTTAGCTTGTGCCAAGACCTGACATACTCCCAGCACTCAGATGGCTCCTATCCACCTGAACCTGGCCTATCTAATAACAAGCATCCAATGCTGGCCTACCAGCCCTCACTGTGCCCCAGATGCACAAGGCCTGTCTGTGATCAGAGGCTGCAGGACACCTTCCACATCAGCCTCTCAAGAGCTCGGTACACAGTGTGTGTGTTGGGGGTTAGGAGTAGGGTTGCACCCACGCATAATAAGGCTCAGAAATTCACCCCTCAGCAAGTACTCCGACTATAGTGGCTGCTTTCCCCCTGCCTATCTCACCTCACAGGAGGGCAAGGCCTAGGTGCTTCCGAAGCAAAACTGCCAACCCCTCTCTCCATTCTCCGGTTAGCTGGCACTGGGCCAGCACCTAGGCTACTTCTGGCCATGGCACTAGACCTCCAACTTCACCCACTTTATGTGCACCCCAGCTTGGCCAACCTTCACTGTGGCAGTGGGGCCCACAGCATCTTGCACTCCCCTTGCATCTCTGAGATTGGGGTGAGTGGCTGGCTCCCACCTTCTTTTCACCTTTTGCTGCTATTGGCAGCTGCTGGCTCAGGAGTATTCCACCACTGGCTCCTGGGTTCCACTGCCCTAGAAGGCTCCAGGACCCAGCCATTCCTGCAAGCAGTCACAGCAAGGAGGGCCAGGGCTTCATGCTGAATATTTAAATTTAGGGGCCTGGCCTCCTTGACATGCAAATAAATATTCTCTCAGCCAAAAAAAAATTCCTTAGAAGCAGTAAGTGTATCACACTTCTTTACATTCCATACAGTATCAGATGCTTTTCCCAACACATGAAAGGCCCTTAACAAATAATTATGGATACTGCACGAGTGCCAATACAAAGACATTCATAACTAGGCCACAGAAGAGATACAATTTATAAACACTGGTAGAACAAATGTAGTTTTTAGTCCTCTGCATGGCATTTTAGTAAACCTTAAAATACTGGAAGCATGTGAAAACATGGATTAATCATCTTACCTGGATACATCCTTTTCAATCTTGCCCCTTTGAGGATCAATTTTAAAATGTGCAGTTTTTTTAAACTGGTACATCACAGGGTGTGATTTGGACAAATTTTGCATAAAACACAGACACTCTGAATATCCACCCATGAAACATGGTGCAAAATTAAGGACCTTTCCTGGACCAAAATGTAGTAAGACATGAAGTCCCGAGCCTGTCATTGCTACTTCCACATTCTGAAATCGATCACCTGTAAAAGCAATAATAGCTTTTTAACATAAAAAGTGTTTGGGGAATTCAGAATATATTTGCTTGCTCCAAAGATTGTCATCTGAAAAGATCTGAAGGAACATGGGTAGCACATTCAGTCTTTCAGTCAACAAAATTATTGAACGCCTTCTCTGGGCAAGCTACTCTACTAGGCCTTGGAGATACAGCAGTGAATAAAATGGACAATGTTCCTGTTCTAATGGACTTTACATTCTAGTGAGGTAACCATAACAAAGAAATAAACACGGAAATATATAGCATTTCAGAGACAACATGGGGAATGTTAACACAGGGTAAAGGGAAGCAGAATTTGCCACCTAAGAACACATCTCTTTGGCATAAGGTTTATTTTAGGTTGGTTATTTTTTAAGAAACAGCAAATGCAGGGAAAGCTCTGAAAACCTAATAGAAATAACCCTTTTGCAACAGACCTTTACATTTATAAGGGAAATCTCAATTTGTAAGGTGTCTCTCTCTGTACCAGCAGAAACTCTTTTTCAAAGGAGAAGGCATGGACTCAAATCTGCATAACAATCATTCTGTGATTACTGTGCTTTTAATGGTCACCTCCTGTAACTGGCTTCCCAACCCCAACATCATCTTTTGTCTTTATCGGGACATGGTACTTAAGGTGGTGGCTATAGCCATTTCAGGGAGTTACTCAGTTTTTCTGGGTCTCTCCCATGGATACAGGTGTGGGTAAAATTGTAATATTTCCAGAATACCTTGCCTGGTTTTAGTGCACCTGCATATCAACAGGTATTCCTAAGGGGTGGAGAGCAACAGTTCATCTCCATATCAATGGGTAATTACCTGGGCAACCAAGGGCTTATCTGCACCTGAAAGGTTTGGGGGTGGTTTTGCTTGCTTCTGCTGGAGCAGGAAAGAGATGGCCTTCCAACCACAGTTTGAAAGCAATAAACAGGTTTTAAACTTTATTTCTCCCTTTGACTGATTTCAGTTTTAGATGTATTTTCCCCTGGGATTTCCTTTACCAAGAATTACAACAGGAAGTATTTATGTTACTCAAGTTCTGTTTGCTTTTACCCTGTTGATCTTTTGTTACAGAGGGGGTTCCTGGAGTAGAAGAATCTAGAAGGGTTGAGGGAAAACGATTTTTCCTTCCCTACAAGAGTAAGAGCACAACATCTTGGGGCTGCTGTTTTACATGGGTAAGTCCAAAAAGGCTTTTCTGATGGGGAAACACTTAAGCAAACAATATAAAGGGACTTAGAAAGAAAATCATGTGAAACTCCAGGAAAAATGCACACCAGACAAGCAGAACAGCAAGTATAAAGACTTTAAGGCAGGAATTTTCTTGGCTTTGTTAGGTAGAAAGACATGAGCAGCAGGGTAAGGGAAAGATAAAACTGAAGGATAAAACTGCCCAAACTCCACCCAGGTAGGGGTCCCATGTGAAGACAGTAAAGGCTTTGCACAGAGATAACTTCCTGCCTATGGGGACCAGGACAAACAGGTCCCAACCAGGTCCCAACACAGGCACAATCGAACAAAACTAAGAACTGCCCAAACCACACCTCATCATAACCTCATTAAAATAAAATTGTGGTTTGGCTCCCACCAACCCCCATGGGCTTTTCTGTGTGCATTCTGGGAAAAGACATGTGCACCAAGAGGAATGCGTGTACAAGTAGAGCTGTCAATCAAATGACCTCACCCTGTTCATGAGAGGAAGTGCCTGCCAGCTAGGTGGTGGTAAATAGACCCTCCCCTAAACGTTCAGCGCCCTTGTCTGCCTAGACTCTGGCCTGCTACTCCCTTGGTTGGAGGGTATTCAAATAAAACTTTTACTCTGCTTCACTACTGTGTCTCTCTGCCTTTCAATTCTTTGTTGTGGTGGGGACAAGAACTGACGAGAACAAAATCAACCTGTAGCAGTTTGTTCCAAAAACCCTCAGGAAACAAATACAGCTGGGCAACAGTCCTAGAAGTGAGGCAGAGGAGGGGCATGAGGCAAGCATCGTGATTATTTTTTCCTGCCTATGACGAAAAATGCCAAGGTATAGTTAGTATAGTAAGAACAGGAGGCACTCCATCTTTAACATTCCATTTTTAAACCAGGGAGTTAGGAGGAAAGATTCCTAACATATTTTATGGTGATTGGCCAACAACTGACCCTGTCTGAAGGCAGGGCTAGCAGTTCTAAATGACATGTTTTCATGGCTTGAAGATGACGATTACCTTGGAGAAGAACTGGATCAGTCAATTCCTGTGTTAAGTTTATCTTACAGGACATCTAGACCACTGACCATGGACAGTGACAAAATGTTTCTCCCAGAAGATGGACATCATAAGAACACATACCAGCCTACATTTTCCTCACTCCTTATTCTTGAAATCCATAAAAAACCTAAATCCTACATCTTTAAGAGCACCTCTCCTCTGAGGCTGCCCACACCTCTCTTTCTCCTATGTGTACTTTGCTTTAAATAAAACCTTGCTGCTCAGTTTATTGTGTTTTGTGTCTGAGTTCTTTCAAGCCTGTCAGGAGGTTAATAAGAGACACCTTTCCCAGTGGAAAGTGTGTTTGTTACTTTGCTATTTCATTCAATTTTCTAGTCTTGAGCACAAGTCTTCTCTCCCTCTCTCCCCCTGTTTTACTTTAGACAGGTAGGGAAGAGATACTGAGATTTCTGATTTGGGCTTGCAAGGTTCCCTTCACTTGGGTGACCCAGATGGGACTTCAGCTATAGAATCATGCTCTTTAGCAGCCTACCCCAAAAATCTCCTTTCTTCATTTTGGGAAGTTCTCAGAACATGATCTCACTCCATCCAGTGCTCCATGGCTTCCCCAAATTCTGGGGTGGTAGAGACTTACTTATCATGCCATGCATATTCAAGTAGACACTGGACACCAGGTGACCCTGGCTTTAAGAGTTGGCAAGGGATTTGCCCTCTGCCAAGCGAGAATTTAATGAAGTTCCTTTTCCTCCTCTGTTCTCCCTTGCTCTCTACTACCCGCATGGCTGCACAAATAAAGGAGCTACTTTTCCTGGCACTGTGCAACTCTGACATTCACTACTACTTTCACCTTAATGAATTCATTCCTTACCTACACTCAGCTGACCTGTTCACAAATTCTTTCCTGAACAGAGTCAAGAACCCTCCCTCATCCTGTGTGAGGTTTCACCTAGCAGGCAGGAGACACCTCCACAGGTGGGGCTGCCTGGCAACAGAAGAATGGTGAGAAAAGGTCAGATTTAAGATATCTTTTTGAGGATAGAGTTAACAAAAGTTGCTGATGGATTGGATATAGAATAGGAAACTCAAGACATGATAAATGATGATGCTAAGGATTTTGGCCTGAGAAACTAAAGTGATAGAATTGCTATTTTGTGAGAAAGGAAAGACACAGGAAGGACAGGTTGTGGGGAACCCAGGAGAGTGTTTTTGGACATGTTAGGTTTGTGATGCCTAGTATACATCCATGTAGAAATATCTACTAGGTCACTTAATATATTTACAAGCTTAGAGTAAAGATACAAGAAATATTGGAGTTTGAGGTGAGAAGAGCAGGTGTGTGATATTAATCCCATATTGTGAGACTATGAATGAACAGAGGAGGCAGCAGGAATGTCAAACCCCTTAGAGGACCCACTTGAGGTTAGTGATTACAAATTAAGAAATGAAACCTCACAGCATGGTTTGTGTGCTTTTCTCCAGCACAATTAGCTTCCCCAGTACAGACCCAGAGTAGGCTGAGGTGAATTTAATCAGATTAGATATTTTCTACTGTGGGAGATGTTTTCTAAGTACACATGGAAAAAGGTGATTAAATAATGGACAATGGAACATAAACTGGGCAATACCATCAATAGTTTGGAGTTTTGGAGATAATACAAGATAATATAAGAAAGTAGGAACTATGAATTGTACGCTAAGTTTGGGTGAACAGTTTTACAGAGAAAGAAAGCAATGTAACCAGAATCCAAATGAAGGTTTACATTTCTTTATTAATGCTCTTACTAGCCAATCCTAGATTCTCAATTACTTTTAAGGCAAACCTAGAGCCTCCATCTCAAGACACCCAAAACTAGATTACTTGCAAACCTCAAACAAATGTTCTGTCTATGATCCGCAGGCAGAGCTCAAATCATACCATGACATATCAGTGACAGAGCAATCAATTTCTGTCCTAGAAACACAGTTCAACCCTGCTCAGTGATATCATTCATACTGACATGCAGATCTGGATTCTAACTTGCCATGGCTCATCTTTCTGGATTTGATCACTAACCTGACTGTATCTTCATTTTCTCTTTGATCTGTCTTACTAAGCTAAACTCCAAGTCTTGTTCCATCTCTCCTCACGGCAGCCCATCCAATATTACCTGAGACTGTAAAAAGTGCAATGCAACTTGACATGTGATCTGTAAAGCATATGCACTTCTCAATATCCTAGAACAGGACATTGCACCCTATTTATTCTATGTCTTGGTCTTTGGCTCTTGCTGTACATTGATTCTGAGAGCTGAAGGTCCTGCAGAGATGGAATGGTCATTTGTTCCCATATCAATCTCTAAGAGAAAACCTAGGCTTACATAGGAAAATAAGCAAGGTTGTTTTTCAGTTTTTACCTTTGGTTCATTCCTTAAACTCTACATCATCATGTTTACTTAATGTCATTTTAAAATAATTAAGTCATCTAAATTCTAACTTGGAAGATTATTATATAATAGGTTCTGAAGTTAACTTCTTTCTTAACATGCACAAAAGAAATTTTAAGGTCTCTTGAAGGTTGCATTTTCATTCTATTTAATAATTATATATTTTTATTGTATTGCCTTTACAAATATTGATGACCAAACTTTTCAATAATTTAATCTTCTATACATTTGATGATTATGTTCACTTTGCACTTACTTTTGATGTTTTTATTATCATCTCTCAAAAATCCATCTTTACTTCCTACAGACTCAAATCTCAAAAAGACAGCATAGTCCTGCCTGTGTGAAGGATCATTAATTATCCTTTTTACAATCAGCAATTAGCCTGCAAAACATTACAACCAGTTATCAGTGATTTTTAAAGCAAAGATGATACACGTTAGTACCTCTCAAAAGGGATTACCAACCCTATCCTTAATCTACGCAAACAGATGAAAGTTCAGGAATAAAAATATAACTATGATCCATTTCCAAAATTACTACACACATACATAGACTTGCCAAAAGAAGGCCACAGAATGTACAGATCCAAAAGACGAATTCATGACAACATTTGCAAGACAAGAGTAATGTAAATATACTAAGTCATCAAGGTCCCGCTCCAAAGGCACTTTCTAAGTAAAGGATTTTCCTTCTAGGCAGAGTTCATTGCTAGTTAAGGACTCTGTTCAATTCTTTACAAGGGCCCTTCTTACCCCGCGTATAGCTGCAAATCTCTGTTACCTATCTGTCTCCCTCCCATGGACTAATAAGCACGTATAGCACGAGCCACATTCTTGTTAGAGGAGAACAAGTAATTTGGAGAAAAATATTTGATAACAGCCAAATCTTGTCAAGAGGCAAAATAGAAAGATGGAAAGAAAGAGAAGTAAGAAAAAACACAGAGATGGGTTACATCACAGGCCTGTGCATTGGCTCTTTACTTGCCTTACCTAGAGGTCAGTTTTTTTAGCAGCAGATACTCAGATATATACACAAAAGGCTGATGTGCAGTGTTAGAAAGGAATGCAAATAGCATGTTGAGCACACATTTAACCAAGACTTCAAATCATACTCACACCTATGAGTTTTTGCTAGACTCTCAAAATTAGCAGGCTGCCATGAAAAAGAATATTTAAAATGTTTACGATTGTGTATTAAACAGAATCTTGTACACTGACCAGAGAAATTTCCTGCATGGAGGTATGATTGATAAGGCAAATAAAGATGGTACAAATAGAACAATTACTTGATTCATTACCCTCCTTAAGTTAAAACACAACCCAGTCTTCAACAGACAACCGGTATCACCAAGGGACCTAGCTGCCATGGAGAAAAGTGCATTAAACACTGCCTTCTCACACACAAGGGTAAACATACGTACAACTGGACTGGCTATTGCCACACACTGCAACCACTCAAATGTAGCTGAAATTGCTACTGTATATTTAAAATGGCATTTCTGAATATACTTTCAAATTAAATAACCAAACCAAGTACACAGAACTGTGAAAACATACATTGGCAAAAATCCTAAAAGTCTGAATTTCAGCAAGCAAGTGTGGTTGATCCCAGGGGCTGCTATTGGTTTAATATTCATGCTACTCAGTCAGCAAGCATTTTGCCAGGACAGGAGCATGGCATTCTCTTTGAAGGCCCCTAAAACATACTGCATGCCACAGGCCATCACCTGACTGTTTCTGAAGGAACAACAAGGTCTTGGTTGCACACATGGGTTTGGAGCCACAATCCAAAACAACCCAAACCTTCCACCTCCCCATTTCCACAAGGTCTGGAGATTTTTAAAATTTATCATGAAGTATTTAGAACCATATTTTTAAATATTGGAAATAATATTAACCATGTTAGAAATATCTAGAGCCATAATAAGAAAAATATGATTTGTGCCTTCTGACAAGTTTTACTATTAAAATAAGTCAGATAAATGTATGATTCATATACTTTCCATTAATAAGTAACATCATAACGGAATTAATTTTTGCTTACTTTGGGCTGAAACAAAATGTAATTACAATCTTTTGATAAGGTAGTAACCTCCCTTCATTAGGAACACAGGACATAAAAGTGGTAATATCTGTGTTCTTTATTTTGTTTAAGTATGTGAGATTATGTAAAGCAATATCCGTTCTTTGTTGAATATTTGTACCCTGCAAGACAAATCAGAAATAAAAGAAAATCAGAAAAACAAAATAAAACATTTTAAGAGGAGGTCATAAGACAATTACTGAAACTTCAGAGTCTAGAAAATAGAGAACATGTTATGTTTTTAAAATAACACATACATTGATCAAAGCACATCAAAAAATTTAAAGAAATGTTGAAAAATTGATGGGGACAGAAATCCCCACAACTAGCTGCTGATCTAGAAGAAGCACTTATCTGGTTTACTTTAGGTATATATTATTATCAATGTTAGCTTAATTTACTGAATTTTTTTTGAGGTTACCCTTGAAAATACGTGAAATGAAATCATATCTACCCAAGCATTAAAATATACTTACAATATAAGTATCTATACTTAAACAGCTTATGGGTTATTAGTAAATTCAGAACAATATGTTTCAAAATACTATGTCTGATCTTCCCCTGTTGCACTGTTTACTTACCAATTCTTCTCCAACTGCATCATCCTGCATTATGGCCACCCAATGTATCGGTTCTGGACTTTTATTGTATAGAAGTCCATGTTCAATTTTTGATGTTCCAAAGAAAATAGAACCAAAGCGTATGCATTCCAACTTTTTGTCACAACTCATGTTCAACAATTCAATAATCTGTTCAACCGCACAAGCTTTGATATTCAGTAGTATTTCTGGACGACCTTGCAAACTTACTCTACAAGATAATGAATTAAATATGTATACTTTAATTAGAACTCTATATATTTTTCTCCCAAATATTTGGATAAAGATAAATTTTTAAAAATCACATCCTAGTAACAATTCAAAGGCCTAAGCCATTTCTTTCACATACATGCAGGAGACTGTCATGTCCCTCTGTCTGTCTGAATCTGCAGAGTAGAAAGGCACTTATGCAACCTAATTCACTGTCCTTGGGAAACAACAAAGTTGAAAAATAATTGCATTAATTGACCCCAAAAAGAATGCATTGACATGTCCATATCATCAATTATTTCATAAATACTAGTTACATGGGATGATTTACATGGTCACCTCTAGTTCTAGAATTCCATGTTAATTTCAACACTTCATGCTTCATCTGCAACTTATCCACTGAAGACTCTCAAGAAAATATATCTAGACCAAAATTTTTTCTCAGATTCAAAATAAGTAAATATAATAGACTTCATAGGGTTCTGCAAAGCAAATCAATTCCAACATTTTAAAACTGAACTCAAGATCTTCTCCCACAGAGCCATCCCTCCTCTTACCTTACCTTTCTATAACCAGTCACTATATCTAGTCAAATTTGTCTTCATAATGTATCTTTAACACACTTTCTCCATACTCTCAATTTGTACGTTAGCTGAGGCCTTTATCATTTTTCTTCTGCTTTACTATTATAGTTTCTAGTCAGGCTACTCACTCCACATCTATACTCCCTGATTTGTTTTGCCCACTGCTATCAGCATGACCTTTGTAAAATGCTAACTAATCAAGACACTCTCATTTTAAAGCCTTCCTGATATTCTACAGCCTTCACAATAAAACCCAAGCTACTACCGGGACTCAGAACTGTTTCCCAAACATTTTTGTGGCTGTAACCTTCAGTAAGAAATATATTTTATGTTGCAATGTAGGAAACACACACACACGCAAAACAAGTTTTATAAAACAACATTTACCCTTACTATGTGAGAAGCATTCTGAAATGCTCTATTTCATTGTTCTAATAACTGGTGGTGCCCATTATAATGACTGCACATCCCATGAATGAACTGAGATATAGAGCATTAAAATACACTGTCCTATGAGGTCCTTTACTGGACCTGCCCCATTCTGTTCTTCTGGTCTCATCTTGCATCCCTCCTCCCCTCCATCTCTGCCTTTAAACTGCCTCAGATTTCTGTGTGTAACACTGTCTATTCACCTCTAGGATTTCAAGTCTTCTACTTGGTCTGCCTGAACTCACTCCTCTAAACCCTCCCATCACCAACATCCACCTTCCCTACACACACACACACACACACACACACACACACACACACACACTCAGCCGAAATCACATCATTGCTCTTTGGCTAATTTCTAGTCAGCAATAAGTATTCGGGTTAACTCTCACCTCTTTAGTGGAGCCTTTTCCTGGCCCACTCTGTCACCCCTACATCCAGACTAGGAGCTCCTTCTTATATGTACCCTCCCATGTGCCATTCTCTGATTCTTCCCATTTTTGAAACCCTAAGTGCTTGGCAAATAGCAGCAACTCAGAGAATGAATGTTGACTGAAAGAACAAAGAAGCTTACATTCAAAGACAGCAGGTGTATCTGAAGAGTGAAATATGAAAGTATTAAGAACGATATCAGAATTCAGAACCACTTTGTATATACTCACTTTGCCACTTCATTTACGATTCTGGGCTGGTCTGCACAGAAATCCACTTTAATAATCACTGATGACTTCGGCTCCACAATACCCTTAGTTGGATAAATGGCAATAGGTAATTGGCCCTCATATTCTGCTTTAAATATACCTAAGGGGAACAAGAGCAGATAGTTTATATCTGCATCCCTACAATGTGACATTCAAACTGTTAGTAAGGAATAGACACACATTACAGAGTAGGTGGTCTAGTGGACCAAAAATCACAGCTTTGATTTAATCCAGTCTTTGCGATCACCCAACAAATGTGAGCCTGGTGTTGCACTCAATCCTCATCAACAGATAAAATATATTAACTGCTTACCATGTTCAGAATTATGCTAAGAATTTTGCATATGTTATCGTGTTTAATCCTCGTGATGATCCTATGATATAGGTTTAATCATTATCTCCAATTTATAAATAGAATAATACTTATAATATTATAATAGAAACTTAGAGAGGTTGAGTTATTTGTCCAAAGACATATAACTACTGTGGTAGATTAGACTGTTGACCCCAATTTTTCTCCCTTCTCTGCATCCTTGCCATTACACTATCATAGATGAAGTATGTTTTCCAACCCCCAGACTTTGGCTTGATCGTGTGAGTTGCTTTGACCAATAGCATGTGGGTAGAGGTGACAATATACCAGCTCCAACCCCAGTTGTCTTCTTGCACTTCTACCACAGAAAGGTTTCTCTTGAGTAGCTGCTGTTGCTTTGGTGTGCACCCCAGAATAAGGAAATGTGGAGCAGAGCTAGCTGGCTGACTCAGAGACCCGCAATGAGTAACACAATAGCCCCAGCTGCCTCAGTTTGAAGCAGAGCTACCCAGCTGAACTCGGCTTAGATCAGTCAAGTTCCAGCTATTCTTCATACATATGCACAATTAAAAATAATTGCCTTTGTAAGATACAGAATTGTGGGGCTGGTTTGTTACACAGCAATAGTCAACTACTACTGCTAATAACTAACTAATAGACCTGGATTTTTCACTTGGGTGTTTCTGACCACAGGCCACACACTTACAGCCACTGCCACTTCTCTGTAAATGAATTAATGCACTTCACACAGTGAAACCGCTAAAGGAATGGGCTTCTACAATCAAACAGCACACAACAAGGAGGGTACAGAAATTCCTTATTCTGAAGGCAGAAATGGTACATAATTTATGGTAATGTTTGGTGCCTGTATTAGAACATGCAAACCTTGAGATCAAATACTACCCCTTTTTCATCTCTGTGGTTCTGGCACCCCATACAGGGCCTAGCACCAAGCAACGCTCAAAATATGTCCAATAAATGGAAGAAGCCAGTCACAGGTTTAAGCGGCCAACATAAACAGCTTTGCAAAATCCCAATTCAACAGTTTTAAATCACATTTGGTGATATTTTCCAAAATACTCAAGTAACTCAGGAGAATAAAATATTAGCATAATAAAAGTACTGAAAATATAAAAAGACAATAACACATTTTTTAAAGTACAGAGAGGACCAGATGGAAAAAGCAAATTCACACTAACAAAATCTGTTAATCCAACCATTTTTAGAGACATGCTAATGATGTATTGTTAAGGTTTTTCCTGTCATAAAAAAAAAACAAAAATCTGTAAAATTATATCCATTCAAATAAATTTTACTGAGTCAATTCTGCAGAAAAAAGAAAACTATATGAGTTCATTTAAGGCTGACTCAGTGAAATGGTTGTTGCATTGTAACCACTCTGACATAATTTGACAAAAGAATTTAAGTGAATGTTTCAGAAGCCTTTTAGGAACAACGCCAAAGCCAAAAGAACATTGTTCAGTCTTCTACATATATTAAAACGGTGGGCACACAAACATTACTGTGTCTTATGAAACTCTAATACCATGAGTGATAATGAAATATTTGATTATTTTTTAATTGCGAACAACAGCAACAAGGACATTACCCAAGGGAAGGGTGTCATTGAAGGAAGAATGTCAAAGAAGGAATTTTTGTCATCAAATTTTCGTTTCTTTTTAGCTCTGACACTGGCCAACCTTTGAAGAATGAACTGGAAAGAGGTAAAGGGAGGCTATGGAGAAATAATTTCGGTCAGTGATAGAAAGTGGCAATGGGACAGAGAAAAGTAGTATTATTACTGCCTAATGAGGAAGTGAACCAACAGGAGAGCGAGGAGGTAGGAGGTGAAAAAGATGGTGGCGTCAGGATTTTGCCAAGTTTCTGGCTTGCTCAAATACATGGTGGTGACATTTAATGAAAAAGAAAAAAGGAGAAGTTTGGGGGAAAAGCTGAGGAAGTTTGAGAAACCTGAAGGAAATGCAAATACTGTCTAGGCTTCAGGAAGGTAACAGGAATGGAAGGAATTGGCTAGGAGAGTGTGTGGAATGAGGAAACATGAGGGACCACTCGTATTTAAGGCACCTCAAGAAAAAGGACAGCAGTCCACAAAAAAGAACTGAAGATGAGGGGGGCAGTAGAAAAAGAACAGGTCTAACATCAACAGTTAATATTTACTGAACACATATGTCAGAGAGTGTGCTAAGCATTTTATTAATCATCACCACAACTACAGGAGTCAGGCACTGTGTTTATCTCTAATGTGTAAGTGAGGTGATGGATGTTCCAGGGGTGTAAATTCTTTGCCGGGAGCCTCCCAGCCCATCAATGTTGTAACCAAGACTTGGGTCCTAGAAGACCTCACTCCAGGACCCCAAGCTATCATTTACCACTATTTTATACAGGAGAGTGAGGGGTCACATAAACCAAAGCTTATTGTATTTTATTTTTTCAAGCAAATGGCAGTGGCTAATTATGGCAAGTATTGTTCATAAGCCATGTAAAATAAACAGACTTGTCCAGTGATGAGCCTAAGGAGAGCACATGGGAGCCTTGCCACCCCAGATGCTGATTATCCAAACAGGAGAGTGAAAGGATAAGTGATTTGTATGCCAACTGTACATCAACAATAAAGAGAGGGCATGAGCACATATGCATATACACGTGCCTTCATGGAAACTCTTAGGTCACAGAAAGAATCTTAGAAATAATCCAGTGTGGACAAGAGAGAAGCTTTTATTCTTTCAACAGAAGGTTAGTAAAAGCACTCTCAGGGCCACCATGTGAATTCAAAGTTGAACATGATAGAGAAAAAGTACAAATATTTACTGAATCCCTATGATGAGTCAAGTACCATACTGCAACCTAAATGCATGCATAATGAACTATAGTACCTGTAATTAGCTATAGTTTATCAATGAGGAACATCAAGTTCAATGTCTTTGAAGATCCTTGATCCAGATCACACACCTAGTCAGGCACTGGGCCATGATTCTATCTCTGGAAGGCTCTAAGGACTATGTTATTCCCATGATCCTTCTTGCCTTCTGTCCTCAGGGAGATCACTAATTATCTGACAGCCAGGCTGTGTTAATCACAGAAAACAGATTCATCTTCCCTGAATCACTGCCTATCAGTCTTTTACAGTCAACCTATTTAAGGGCCTCCAGGTTTGAGCTACTTCAAATGATGGGTATCTTTTTTTAAAATAAATTGGAGAGTTTATTAATTAGATAAAGTATATATTTCAAATAGTACCAGCGTTCTTCCAAAAGTGTAAGTTAATTTATATGACAGAAAGTATTTACCTGGAACTCTGCCATGGTTAGTGATATGAACCTCTTTACAATATACTTTACTATTGGTAACCAGTGTGCCAAAATTCACTTCTGACTCGATTTCTAATTGACAAGATGGAATCAACCTAGGGGAGGAGAAAAAGGACCACATAATTAATTTTAACGATTATAATTTCAGAGTTAAATCTACTTTATGCATCTAAGGATATGGTATATCCTCTCAAGTACTCACCTTGAATGGTTACCCACATATCTCAATATTTTGTTGCTCAAAACATATTTGGAACACTGTTTTGGAATCTCCACCTAAGCCTATAATACATTCTTTTGTCCCTTCTCAAAAAGGGTGGAACCAATCTTAACAAGTAAAGAAGTTTGGATGATGCCAAATCTGATGAAATAAAAGAAGGTGTGATGCTAAAAAATATCACTTGGGGACTAAAACAAGGTCTAAGCACAAAAAGATACAATTTATTTTCCAAGTGTGTCTCTAAGTCAAAGAGCTCATATCTGTAGCATATGATTTTGTACAGGTTTTAAAAACCCAGTATAATACATATATTTTATTTTTGGATAATAATTTATAATTTATAAAGCACCATTAAGTATACTATCTTATTTGATACTAAAAAAATCTTGAAAGGTATGTATTATGGCTCCCAAGTAACAAACAAAGAGCTAAAGACTTAAAAAAGCCTCTGTGATTTATCTAAGTAATTATGTGGAAATAACATTGGTGAACTTAGCCTTGACTCTATTTTGTTAGACTTCAAGGATACTACCCTTAGAAACCTTACAACAGTAACAATTTCAATAATAAATATAGTAATAACTGATCTTTATTGAGTCCTTAGGTAATGTACCAGACCCATGAATTAATTTATTTACTCCACATAGGATACAACCTCCAAAATATAAATACATATATATATAAGCACACTAAAACATAAATAAGAATTCCTGAACAAAACATTCACAAATACTGCTTTATGTACTGGTGCTCTGGGACTTCTTTCTGGGATCTGTGTTGAAATGTGAGCATTTGTGTATTATTGGATAAGTGTAGACATTCCAGAGATCAGCCAGGAATGTCCTATATATGTTGCTTCTTGTAAGGAATATCCATGCTCTTCTCATAAAGACACTTTAGTCTTGTGACAGGAAAGGAAAGATCAATGACCTTAGTGTACAGAATTGTATTAATAGTTTACAGGATCTAAAAGAGGAACTTGTTTCACAAAGAACGTAAGAGGCGAAGCCAACATGGATGGAGCTAGAGGGTATTATGCTCAGTGAAATAAGCCAGGTGGAGAAAGACAAGTACCAAATGATTTCACTCATCTGTGGAGCATAAGAACAAAGCAAAAACTGAAGGAACAAAACAGCAGCAGACTCACAGAACCCAAGAATGGACTAACAGTTGCCAAAGGGAAAGGGACTGGGTGGGAAGGGAAGGGAGGGATAAGGGGAATAAGGGGCATTACGATTAGCACACATAACATAGGTGGGGGGCATGGAGAAGGAATTATAGCACAGAGAAGACAAGTAGTGACTCTATAACATCTTACTATGCTGATGGACAGTGACTGTAATGGGGTATGTGGTGGGGACTTGATAACCACAATGCTGCTCATGTGATTGCATATTAATGATAAGAGAATAAAAAATATATATATACACAAAGGAAAAAAAGAGGTGAGGCCAAACATATTTTCAAATTATTTCTCTAGCTGGATGCAGAAAAGTATCTTAAGAATAATTTCTGAAAAATATTCTCACATATATACACACACACACACACACACATATACATGCATGCCCATAGATATACATGGTTTACTTTAGTAGTAGTAAGGGCTTGGTAATACAGTAATATATAACAGCTTTTCTGGCTTTCCTATTGGTTTCTCTTTCATCTGATTAAGAAAAATATTTCCAATAATATTTTACTTTCTATGTTAACAGAGAAGAGAATGGCTGTTATCAGGAGCTGGGAGATGCAGCAATTGTGGAGATATTGGTCAAAGGGTACAAACTTGCAGTTAGAAGATAAGTAAGTTCTGGGGATCTAATCCACAGCTTTGTGCTTATAGTTGACGATACTGTATTATATATTTGAAAGTTACTAAGAGACTACATCTCAAATGTTCTCACCAAAAATGAAATGGTAAGTATGTGATGTGATAGGAGGTATTACCTAACACCACGGTAGTAACTACTTGCAATATGTAAATGTACCAAATCAACATGGTGGACACCTTGAATTTACACCATGTTACATGTCAATTATATCTCAATTTTTGAATAGGAAAAAATATGAAAATTTAAAAGTATCAAATTTACTAATTTATGTATGGAGTTAAAATTAATTTGCATTAATATAATTCATAAGAAGCTTTAAAAACATGGATTTACAATTATAGTAAATCTAGGTACATACTGCTTATATATGTTCATATGTACATATACATTTACATACATGCATAAATTATAAACAAATTTCTATAGTCTTGTTGATTAGTAAAAAAACTTTTAAGTATAAAAATGTAATGCATTCAGATATGATACTATGGTGATAAATGAAATGGAAATACAAATTTGATGGGAAAAAAAGAGATGAGGTAAACTTTTCAACTGTTTACAAATTACTATGATATTTCCCTTTTTACTGGATACATTTGAAAGAGGCATATAACTCTTATATATAAGCCATTAGATCTTTCATTGATTCAAACTCATAATGGAAAACGTTAGAAATTTTTAAATGAGCAAATGAGACATAGGTTTTAAGAATAAATGAAAAAAGGGCTCAAAATCACTGATTATATCATTTCTCTATGAGTACACTTTTGGAAGACCAGATAACACAAACTTCTAGTTTCCAGACAAAACTGCATAAATCCATTTCCTATGTTCCTCTCCAATGAACGTAACTGTAAGCCCTAGAAATGGTGCAAGAGGCAAGCAAAGAAGGTAAAAGGTAATGAGAAAGAGAGCTGGTTGTTTGCAACACCAGGACTGCTGGAACAGGGAAATGCAAATTAAACTATAAGGAGATTCCACAATCAAAATGGCTAAAGTTAAAAAATAGTGACAGCAGCAAATGCTGGTGAAGATGTCAAAAAAGTGTATTACTCATACTTTGCTCACTGGAATGTAAAATAGTAGAGCCACTCTGAAAAGAAATTTGGGATTTTCTTTTAAACTAAATATGCAATGACCATTATGACCGAGCAACTGCATGCCTGGGCATTTATCCCAGAGAAATGAAAACATATGTTCACACAAAACTTGTACATGAATGTTCACAGCAGCTTTATTGTAAAAGCCAAAAAGCGGAATCAGCCCTGATATCCTTCAACAGGTCAATGGCTAAACAAACTGTGGTATATACACACCATGCTATACCACTCAACAATAAAAAGGAACAAACTATTGATATATTCAACAACTTGGTTGACTCTCCAGGGAATTTTGCAGAGTGAAAAAGTCAATCCTAAAAGGTTATATCACATATTTGAGAAGACAAATTAAATTTAGAAAGAGAAGACAGAGCAGTGGTTTCCATTTTAGGAATGGAGGGAGTGAGGCACAAGGGAGGTGGGTGTAGTTATTAACCAACAGGAGAGATCCTTGTGGTATTGGCACTGCTCAGTATCTTGATGGTGGTGGTAGATACAACCCTACACACAAGACCCTATACAATAAAACTGTATAGAATTTAAAAGCTTAACATGACACACACATACACACAGCAGTTTAAGTAAAGCTGTGACAATCTGAATAAGACAGGTGGATTGTATCAATGTCAGTTTCCTAGTCGTGGTATTATCCTATAGTTTTACAAAATGATACTATTGGAGAAAACTGGGAAAAACGCACAAGGAATTACTTCTTAAAATTGCATGTGACTCCTCAATCATCTGAATTTTTTTAAAAAATAGACATATAAGCAGCAAACTCTTCCCCCTGCCCCACCCTCACACACCTACACACCTACACACACACACACACACACACACACACACACACACACACACACACACACCCTTTCTTGCAGCCCTGTTCATAACACTGTAAGGGGGAAGTGTTGTCCTTAGGTTGCATCTGACTCTGATGAGAAAGGGCACACAATAGGGGGACAAGACAAAATCCCTGTTTCAAAGGCAGAGAGGCATCTTCAACATTTCTCTCCACATATAGTACAAACAAACAAATCTGAGTGTTAGTCATAGTTATGTCAATATGCAGAATGGACCAAAACTGGCCCTATTTAAAATAAATTATAAAATGTAAAGTAAATATTTGTAGTAGGTTAATAGCTTATTCCTTTCCTAACATGTGTCAAGTGAATCCTATGCAGAATGGGCTGTTGTGCTAAATCCGAACTTCTCAATAACATAGAGACCCAAAATAATTGCGGATCTAAATTTAGTTTACAAAAATGAGAAACACAAGGGGAGTTATACACAGGCATATGTCTAATGCCAATATTAATATTAATATTCCAATATTAATTCTGTTGGTGTTGGACAAATAGCAACAAAAGAAATCACATCTATGGAATGGCATTTTGTTGGGGAAAAGGAGGATCACACACATGCATATGAATAAAAAAACTTTTAAATTGTGACTCTAACTTTAACAGGTAATTTCACAATGAACAGAACCATACTTTTTTCAGTATAAAATGAAAATGATAATATCCTGGTCAAATAATTTGTATCAAATTAATCTCCAAATAAGTTACTTAGCTCTGTGTTATATTCATTATATCAGTCCACATTTTTCAACCAATCTCCAAAGAGCACTATTTTTATTTTTTTGAAGGCAAACATCTGAATTACTTAAAATTCAGTGAAGTATATACAATAATTTACTATTAAATAACAAGTATATTAAAATGTGAATACAGAGCCACCGTAATCCATTTAAGAATACATTCACCATAAAAACAGACAGTAGACTGGTAGTTGCTGGAAGCTGAGCATGATGGAATTGGGGAGATGCTCTTTAATGGTACAAACTAGGAACTAGTAGATAAATAAGTCCTGGAGACCTAATATACAGCATAGTGATTATAGTCAACAATACTGTATTATCAACTTCAAACTTGCTAAGAAACTAGATCTTAATTGTTTCCACCACAAAAAAGAAACAATTATGTAATGTGATAGTGTTGTTAGCTAATGTTATGGTGGGTGATAAACATACTGCAATTCATAAATGTATTGCATCAACATGTTGTACAACTTAAACTTACACAATGTTATATGTAAATCATATTCCAATTAAGAAAAAAGAAAGTGTGATGAGAAAGAGCAGCCGATGAAGAACTATAGTAGCAGGAAAGTCAGAGAATGGAGAATGAAGTGGCCCAAAAAGGCAATCATGGTTAACTATTTCTAATGCTGCTGAGATGTGGAGTAACATAGAGACAGAGGAGTTATCAATAGATTGGCAATATGTGAGAGCTGTTTCATTGGAAAGCTTAGGAAGGCATCCTATCAGAGTTTGTTGAAGTGAGAATAGAAAGTGGGACTGTGAAGATAGGAAAAAGAGTTTTCTTTCATGATTACTGTCAAAAGATACAAAAAAAATATGATGGGAAGAAAATAGGATGTGAGGTCGAGAAAAAAAATGCGTGCAACTATTGAATGTTTTTAAGTTATTCTAATTAAATAAAAATACCAGAAAACTAGTCTTCCATTTGTTTTGAACAACACAATTTGTTAAAACTTTGTCCTTTAAGTTCAGCTTAAAGGAAACTATAGCTACAACAAGCCCTATTAGAGAAAATATAGAACAGTACTTTGATTCTTATTTTTATTTGAAGAGTGCTCAAAAATGTTAGCATGAAATATAAAGAATACCTACCCAATTAGAGGGATCTCTATTGTTTTATTTCCTATTGAAATAAGTAGTTGGTCAAAAGTGTCTTCATCTTTTTCAGGATGATATTCTACCATAGCTGTCATATGAAGCCCAGAAGCAAGTTCTTTATACAGATTGTTCAAAATCAGTTTGAACTTCAGTGGGAGAAAAAAAATCAAATTAGACATCTTAACACCTAATGAGGAAATAATGTGAGCAACTATAGTTGGGAGTGCACATTATTTTAAGCGCTATATCAAGACATGGGTGCTATTCCTGCCCTAAAGGCAAAGACTTAATAACTCTATACCTATCAGATTCTAGATCCTTCAGACATGTTACATGGATTGAAACTGACAATGCAGTCAGTTAAGAAATGTGTAACTGTTCATGGACTCCTTTAGAAGTAAAACTTAAATACAGAAAAAAAAGGAAGAGCAATCTAATAAAAATGTTGCTCAGTCATATATACCTATGAAATACACACACTCCTGCATATACACATACATAGATCATTTTTTATACTTTCAGCATGGGGACTTAGACTTCATACCTTGGAGGAAATATAAAAAAGGAATGGACCAAAGAGGAAAAAAAAAATACTTTCGCTTTTGTAAGCCATCTGCTAGAGCCCAGGAAAAAATATGAAGGAAGAGAAGTGCTACCTATTAAGCACTTATAATAAGTTCAGTATTCCACATGTATTCTGTCACTGCATGCATTTTGACAGTCCTATAATGCGGATATTAAGGCTCCCAACATACAGATGAGGAAACTGGGACCTGTAGAGTGTAGAATGTAATTAATATCCAAGGTCAGTGACAATGAGGATTCAAAACACATATCCATTTTACTCTAAAACTTAACCCACAACTGGAAAGATTCCCTCTCCTGAATACACAATCTCCTTAAGCAGCCATCTATATACCCCTTAAAAGTTAATACCAGGGACTAACTGTCATATGAGTGATGCAGACACAAGTATCCTGAAAATAAATAAGAGAACACACAATTACTGGGGGCTACAAGGAGTGTACTTGGTCCAGGCATAGAGGACAGATAGAAGAGATGTTGAAGAAGCAAGTAAGGGGCTCCCTGTGGAGGCAGGAATAGCTCACACACAAGCAGAGAACAAAATAAGCAAAATGGTGTCTCTGTAGGCAGCTAAAAAGCTAGCCTTGCTCAGCAAAGAGCTTCAATCAGTAGTAATGGAGGTCATGTTGAAATTAATTATCATTCAGGGTTTTTAATGCCAGGCTGAGTCTAAGCAGTGCTTTCCAGCAATGAAAGATAGAGGAGTGACTTGTTGATACCACTGGTCTGAAAGCTTCACACTTCCAGCAAATAATAATTCTCACACCTCACAATTACCACAGTCTAACTCTCAGCCCCCCTGCAATTACAGAATCATAAGAAAACAAGGGATAGATTGTTCCCCACATGGGCCTTTGAGTGCTGACCATTAACGTATTAGGTTTGACTATCATCCTTTAAAGAGCTCTGTCTTTAAAACAGGATACCAGGGCTTTAGCAGCATATGCTTTGGGTCAAACTTCAAGTTGCTGAGCAATCAGTGGTATGCAAAGGTGTGTAATGTGCCACCCCCACTTGGGAGTCATCAGGACACAAGTCCCAACTATAATAAATGTCTGTAAATGCAATTGGTATCAAGTAGGGAAGAAATAATTTGGAGATAATATAAGAGAGAAGACTTATAGAGACCATTAGAATTCACTTTGACCCTTAAAGATGGGTGGGATTTGGAAAGGGGTGATTCTGGAAGAAAAGGGAGGACTGAAAACATGGGTTAAAAGAAAGGGAAGTGTGATCCATGGGGGTAAGGAGCCAATCACAAGTAAGCCTGGCCTGGCTGAACCAGAGGCCACACGAGTCAGCAAAACACTGAGGAGCTATGTCTTCTTTATTTTCTACCAGCGATTACAGTAGATGGAATGTATCACTGCATATGGCACACAGTAGGTACTCAGTACAAAGACAATGTTGGGTCTTGAGCCAGGGTGAAAAACAAGTACTACTGCATGTTAGGAGAATCATTTTGTAAGTAATTTTAACAGTGATGATGACAATGCTCTTTACATAGCACTTTGGTTTTATTTTTTTTAAATATATTTTTATTTCCAAGGTAGTTAATGCATTTTTTGCTAATCCATCTCTTTCCTAATTCTCTTCACGCCTGTGAAGGATCAGGAGTGTACATCATTGTCTTCCAACAAAGACAGGTTCACGCTGATACTGGGCTCACGGCTTTGGCCTCTAACTAGTAAGGCTGTCTAGACTTGTGGTCTAAATAGTTACCTTTACAACTCTAGACACAAGCCAAAACAAAACAAATTATATCATTTTTCCTCTGACTGAATAAAACCACCCATGCAAGCGTTTGCTGCACATCCATAAAATAGTGTGTGCCCACATTTGGGATGTACTGCTATCTTGAGTTTTAAAAGACAGTATTTTCAAATACACATTCAGCTGTTCAGTAAATATGTGGTAAGGTAATGACATAATGTACTTTTTCCCTAATTTTATAGTATTGGTCAGGTACTTTTTGATTTAAAGAGTAATTAATAGTCTCTTGTGATATACTGTTTTATTACAAAATAAACATTACTATTGTTAAAACATGCAAATATAAAAATGAATAAGAACAATTCCATTTATATAAAACTCAAGAACAGGCAAAACTAGTCTATGGTGTTAGAAACCAGTATAGTGGCTACCTTCACGCAGTGATTACTCCCAGTACTGTAGGGAGCATTCTTCGAGTGCTGGAAAATTCTATTCTGACCCAAGTGGTGGTTACATGGGTGTGTACATATATAAAAATTCATCAAGCTTTACATTCAAGATTTCTACACTTTAGGGTAGATAAATAGTACATCAGTTTTTCAAAAGTGTAAAAAGTAGAATACGAAAGCCCTTTTTCTCATTGCCTTTCTAATCACTACTGTACTTTTTTATGCATATATGAATATACGGAATTTAACAAAAAAAATCATACATACCTTTCCACTTCAATACATATAGCTCCAGCTGTATTCAATACTATTTATTATTAGGAATATCATTAGGAAAAATTAAGTTATTTATCACTTGTAAATCAAAAATTCTTTTCACCTTACCTATACCAAAAGTCCTCTGGTAACAGGTGATCATAGATCACGTGATCTAAAATAACAGTGCGCCAGAGATGAAATTCTGCCAAGTTTTAAATCAGAAGATGGCGCCACCCTCTCAGAGTTTCAAGTCCTCTGAGGGCAGGGCTGGGTCCATCTTACATTCCTAAACCTACTGCCTATTATATAGTAGGTGCTCCATAAATGTCTGCTAAAATATGACATAGAAAACTTTCCATTATACTACAGTATCTGGAGTAATCAGGCACTTTATGATTCAAAGGGTAGTTAATGAGAATTTTGTTGATGTAATTCTATTCTGGGCTATTAAGAGAAGACAAACGTGGAACACTCTGCCGCTCTTTCCAAACCCAAAATGAAGAAATTGGGAGGTTCCAGATTGCCTTTTCCCCACCCTGTCTCCCAACACCAAGGAAAAATGAAACAAACACAAAAAGGCGAGCACACACATATAGTGTCACCTAAATCGCCGCTCCCCTGGAAGCTCAATCCTGCCCCCATTCCCGAAGGAGCCAGGTGTCTACTCCCCCTGACAAGGCAGGTGCCCAGATGGGGAGGAGTTCTCAGAGCCCTGGCGCTCCTGAGGCTTTGCTCCAGCACCCCTGAGTGTGTTACCTGTGATTTGGCCGGCTCCTGAAACCGAATCTTTTGGTTGCAACGGCCGAGATTGTGTACAGTAATTGGAAGGCGGTACACCTTGCCGGCCAGCGCGTCCAGAAACTTCAGCTCCAATGGGGTCACCCGCAGCTGAATCTCCTTTTCCGGGGTCTCCCCGTCCCGGGGTAGGAGGGAGCCCCTCTGGGAGTCCATGGTCGGTCGGTAGCCAGCAAGTCGTAGCGGACTTGACGCACACCCACCTAGCGCGAGCATCGTCGCTAGGCAACCGACGGACGCCGCGCGCGAGCTCCGAACCCGGAAGCAATTGTCGCCGCCCAAGCCGCGCGAGTTGGCGACCAGAATAGAAAACACAGGCATCTGGGGAAAGAACCCAGGGGTCGAAGCTGTCACCAAAGCAGCTGGAAAACGTGTTCTGGCAGTCCAAATCCCAGGGGTATCTTATTTTGCCAGGGCCTGGCAGGGTTTTAAGATGGCATTGACGGAGTAGGTATTTTCCTGGACCTCTCTTAAGACTCATCTTAAAGAGCAGTGGAAGTAATGTGCCCAAGGGGTCTATTAAAGCAGCAGTGTGTAAAAGAAACAGAGGCATTCAATGGGAGCAGACTCAGGTCCCCATAGGTGCCCTGCTCAGTGGCCTTTGAGGTAGCGTTTCTTAAAATGTGATAGTAACCCTCTGGGTCTTTTGTTAAAATGCAGATTCCGTTTCAGCAGACTTGGAGCAGGGCCTAAGAATCTGTATTTGTAACAAGGTGCCAGGTTATTCCAATGCTGCAGGTCCAGGAACCACACACACAGTAGAGCAGTTTAGGAACTTTGTTAACTCTTCCAGGTATTAACGTTTCTTCGTTTGTGAAACCAAGGTGCTGTTCAGAAGACTGACATCAAACATATTCACAACTGGATAAGCACTCTTCCAACAAGCCAGGATTCACACTGCCCAATCCCTACTATCCTCATCCTTCATCTGCTGTGATGGTCTTAGGGTTTCAAAACGTATCAGGTGGGTGGTATTTCCCTGCCTTAAATCTGCCTCCTACCACAACTTTACAACACGCTTCTGCTACAGACCTTTATTAATTTTGAGACAAGCATTGCAGTATATATTCATGTAATTATAGGGCATTTTATATACAGATACTTACATTTACATAAACATGTAAGTATACATTTATTTTTAATATAAATATATATGCAAATTAAAAATATATAAATATATAAACTTAGATAACATATATACTCCCCTAAAATATATATAAATATGTAAACTTAAATAAAATATATAGTTTTTGCTTTCATTTCCTTCTTGCTTCCACACGATTTTCACTCTGAGGGGACTCGCCATGCCATCAACTGGTCAAACAGTTACTCATCCTTCAAAACCTAAACATCTTTGTAAAACTGTTCCTACAACTGTTTGACAAGATTCCCACACTACCAAGATGATAAATAAGTTGTTGCTTCATTTTAAAGTTGCCATAAATATAAAGACAAGTTCTAATATTTCTTGGAATTGTCGCTGATAGTTGAAAATAGAAGTAATGGTGCTGGTGGTTATTATTTGCAAATTCTTATGAATTGATAGATTAAAAGCATCTGCATCGTTTTTTAAACTTCTATATATTTTGGCCTAATGCAGCAGAGCTTAACAGCTGGATTTTTATAGTAATCACTATTATGATCTCACAGTACAAACCCAGTCCATATCCTTGAGCCCCTATGCAAGGCAATTATACAGAGATGAAATGACCACATGGCCAAGGAACTTGACTGAACCAAGACCACAGTCCATGCAAAGCCCTCCTGCAAAAATTGGAAACTCTATAAAGAGGTCTCAAATTGTCTACTGTCTACTCTCAAGAGGACTCGCCCAACTCTGGACTTCTATGTAGACCCTAAAGATACAATGATGCAAATCAAGTGGAAAACAATTTTGTTTCCCTTTTCAGTTGGTACTCTTATCCACAAAGGAAGGGTGTCACATAGGGCTCTCCAAGTTCACCAAACCTAAAGCTCAGTCCATTGCCTTTGGTGACTATAGGTAAGCTTCCTTGATTTTTTTTTATCCACATTGTTATCTACTCTAAATTTAAATTTTAGATGAAGTATTATAACATCTGCATCACGTGTCTACCCCCAAATTCTCTTAACCCATTTCTATTATCAAATAATGGCCATTTAAAGGCATATTTTGGTGAGTTATAAGCTGTTTTTAGCCACAATTTTCAGTTATGCACGATTATGTAGTCACTTTAAGGTTGAACAAATAACACATAATGACAAGAGATTTTACATAACAGTAATTCAAAAGATGAATAGTTCCTTATATACTACCTTTCTTCTGGAAGCCTCATGGAGAATAATGTTAATTATATATCATGGATGAAATGTGTTGTGTTCATCTCGGTTCAGATTTCCAAGGACACACAGTGGGCAGAATTTGTGTGTAAAAATCAAAGTAGGCATTCTGACTGGAAAATGTTGTATATTACAAATAAGGTTAAATTTTATTCCTTATGAAAATTAAAAATGAACTATACTGTAATGGAGACAGGGAGCTTAAGGGAAGACATGCTCAATGTTTACTGCAGACTTGACATTCTTCTACTCTGAATGAATTTAAGAGAAAAATTTAACTCCTATCTATTGACTATATATTTTGCCATGTGAACTAGAAATCAGAAGTCCTTCTTCATACTTAGCTAGCGGAAGTTCTGTGGTGGGTAGAGTGTCTGAACACCAAGGATAAGATAACAATGAGGAAGTAAGCAAAATGATCTTTAATTAAGTTTTTGGATGTTTACTTCTATATCTGTTTTAAAGGACTGAAAAAATTGGTGACGAAGGGAAAACGGGATATTAGTGTGACTACTTTAAATCTTCAAAAGTTCAAATAACTTCTCGAAAAAGGAGTCTGAATGCAATCCAGGACAATCTATTATAGTGGTCATAGTACTGATGTAGGAACAGGAGTTATTGAAAGAGAATAGACAGAACTTCTCTATGCTCCAGAGTATTAAAAGAGTGGTAATCGATGTGTTTATAAACTCATTTGAAAGTGAGCAGTATACAGTGAAATTCACTAAGACTACATATGATTAAAAGTTCTCCCAGATAATGAAAAGCCCTGCCAATAAGAATAAATTGATGAGACTAATGCCTGGATAGAGTAGAAGAGCATGAATTGGATGGCAATAACACAAGATAACAGAAAAATGATCCATTATTTCCCAAGGCATACAGTGAATGACAGACAGCCACCAACTGACCCAAGCCAAAGGATACAAGTTTCTCTATTGTTAGCGTGTCTGACTACATACAGACATCATCCCAGAGACTGCTAACGCTGCCCCAGAACCCAGTTTCTCCTTTTTTCAGATATGCTTATGGCCACATAGATTAAGACTACATTTTCTACATTTTACAGCCTCCTTTGCTGCTGGATGTGGCCATGAATGCAAGTTCTGAGCATGAGTGGAACTGATGTGTACCATTTCTGACTTGTATCTTTGGTGTGGTGCCTTAAAACGGTGGTAGATGCCTTCTCCTTCCTCTTAATCCTGCTCTGCTAGTTCACTATAAACATGGTAGTGGGCCAAATGATCACTTTAAAGAGAGTAAGATGATAGAAGGAGCTGGAAGCCTGTCAAAAGTACACAGCAAAGCCACCAACCCACCTGGGATTTTTATTTAAGAGAAAAGTAAAACTAAATCTTGTTTAATCCACTATTAGTTTGAACCCCTTTAGAACAGCTGAACCTAATCAGTACAGACAGCAACACAGGACGGGGACTCAGAAGGGCATATCCCCCAAAAGGGATCAGTTGCAGTAACACCACTCTATCAGACTGAGCATTGTAACTTGGACAAAACCTTGCCTTAGCCAACTGAAACTCCTGCCAACCCTTCCCACCTTCAAACTGCTGGGGTGACTGGCTCTGCCCCTCATGCTCACTGGGCACAAATACCTGGTGGCAAGTAATACCTTTGGTTTCTAAGTAATTACACGTTCCTGAGTAAAACAGTGAATAAAAGTTAATTACCTAGAATATCTCTTGGCAGGACAGGCCTTACTTGAGAGTAATAGGAAATTCACTTCTGCATTACCTCATCTCCTACAGGACCATCTCCTGACCATCTCCTGACCCATCTTAAAAGGTGGTCAGCTTTCTTGAGTGTCAATCAATCTCAAGAAAGATTTAACAGAGTTGGAGGGCATCTAAAGGAATCAAGAGGACAAGTGATCTAAAATGTCAGGACTTCCAATATGGAAATATGAAGGATTAGGGCTGAATATTATAATACTTAAATAAACGACCAGAATGAACATAAACTTTTTCATGAAACCCTAAAACCAAGGAGAATCTGGGGGTTTCAAAAAGGTAGTTTTACAGCAGTTTCTCAACCTCACCACTATTTAAATTTTTAGCAGGATAATTACATTGCATAGGATGCTGTCCTACATTATTGTAAGTTGTTTAGCAGCCTCCCTGAGTTTTACCTATTAAATGTCAGTAACACACTGACCCCCACCCCTACACTGTGACAACCAAAAATATTTCCAGACATCACTATGTTATTTTTTCCCTCCTTTTTACACCACTGATAGCATATTATCACATCATTCACCTTCTGCTTATTTCACTCAACAATACATCTTGTAAGTCATCAATACATGAAGCCTTTTATAGCAGCATAGTATTCCATTGTGCAAGTACAAAATTTACTGAACTGAGTCACATCTGATGTACTCTGGATGTTTCTAATTTTTTACTATTGCAAACAAGACTGTGATGAATATCATTTTGCATATCTTTTCTCATATGGCTGAGCATATTTATAAATAATATAGAATTACTGTAAGAACTACTGAGTAAAAATCTATGCACTGGTCATTTCAACAAATGCGATCAAATAGCTCTTCAGAGAGCTTATATTTATCATAGTCTGATTAGCAGTAAGTGACAGTACATTTTCCCCTATGTTTAAACTATTGCAGTATGTGTAATAGGCAGGATTTCTAAAATGCCCCCCTTAAAGACACCCTGCACTAATATCTAGAACCTGTGGATATGATAATTTATCACTCCCATGATCATGTAAAGTTCTATAGCATAGCTGATCTTAAGATAGGGAGAGGACCCAGGTAGGCTGATCTAAGATCATGGCAGAGCAAGAAGTTAAGAGACACGTGAAGCATGAGAAGGACTTAATACATGATAGCTGTTTTGAAGATGGAGGGAT